TCAAAATAATAATAATAATGTCCAATGGGCCAACGAACGGAACGCACCGAGCAATTACGTTATATTCGTTTATTCCATGTTATTTTCCCCTGCGAAAGCCAAAGAAGACATCATTAAGTTTGAATTAGTCGATTGCCACACCACTTTGTTTAACAAATTGCGCCAAATATCTGTGAAACACACAAAAGGCACAAATAAAATAAAATAAAATGAAATGAAATGAACTCAAGTTTAACGCTTGTAACTGCAAAATCGCAGTCGAAATGTTAGGACAAAAAAAAACGCAATTAATCAGCCCGGAGGAAGTGCTTTTAAATGGAAAGTATGTAATACGAAATAGAGATACTCTGGAGGTATTGAAGGTATCTGAGGGATTCCTAAGACCTGAAATAATTTTGTATTTATTATTATTTATTTATTATTTATTTATTATTTATTTATTATTTATTTATTAAAAGTACTCATTAAAGTGGCTCATAAATTGAAAATCCCTATTTTAAATGTTTATATTTATTATATCCCCGCTTTATGTACAAACAAAAAATTGACTACAAATCAGATTGATATTTTATTTTTTTCACTTTTTTTATGAATAAAGATTAAAAGTCATATCGGCTTTTTATTGGGAATAGGTCGAAATGAACCTATTTCATATCGAATTTTTTTTCTGTATGGTTGCTTAATATCCGTGTTTCCAAGTTAGAACATTTTTTTAGCAAAAGCTATAAACCGAAGCCATAAAAAATGATTTTGCAAAATCAAAGTGTATCTATCTATTGGATTGCTGTAAAAAAAACCTCCTGCTCAGCGTGTCGCACATTTTCATTAATTTATTTAATGTTGCAAATAAAATCCATTTAAAAATAGGCAAAAAAGGCAGAAATGCAAAACAAAAGGCAAAGGCGATTTCAAATGTGCCGCATTTTGCGGTTCGCTGTGTTGATTTTGATTAATTTGCGCCGCCACTTTCGCCCAATGTAGAGCAAAAATATTAATGAGCCGGGCTAATTATGCACCCACAAGCTCTCATTAAATTATACGTGTGTATTATGTAAACGAATCATCGAGAGATTTGCATAACTCGATGATCTACGATCGATTCAAATTGCTCGATTCGCATTTTTGTCGGAGTTGTCGCTACCGTTTGGCGATATCATTTGCTTTGTTTTTCTTCCAAATTGATTGATGTGGCGGCATTTCTTTGGGCCTTTTATTTGTACTATTTTGATTTTGCCTCCGAATTTGATTTTTCGATTGCGATTTCTCGCATTGCCCAATAACGAAACTCAAACACAACTGCCCCGTAAAAAATGTGTGTAATTACACTCTCGGTCTAGCGGCTCCCATTCAAACAGTTCGCCGAATTTAAATTTTAAAGGTTAAGACTCACCATTTAAATTTAACAGCCTCTAAACACAATGCGCGGCCATAACAAAGACAAAAAAAAGCAAAAACAAAAGGCAAACTAAAGCTAAACGAATTTGGGGCTTTGTTCCAATTTTTATGTACTTATACCTTGCAGGCGGCGGCATTTTGGCCAAAGTTCAAAATGTTAATTGCTGGCAAAAGGCGAAGAAACGCCTTCATGGTAAATGGCTAAATGGGCAAATGGGCAGGGAAGAAAATCCCCAAATTGCACGCCGAAAACTAAAGCACAAATCGATCAAGAAAACCGCAAGCTAAAGGGGAATCCCCAGAAATGTTTTTTTTCTAAAAATAGAACGATTTTAAAATAAAGCAATTATATATCCAACACCTAAAAGGTCATGCGATGTAGAGCTAATTTAATTTTTTTTCTACGTCTAAGCAAAGAGAACATTTAAAATTTCTGAATTGCGAACGAAAACCCTTGAAACGGATGGTCAAAAAATCTTCAAAAAATATTATATGGTATTTTAAAAATGGGCATTATTATAAAATCACTTCAAGTCTATAATATCAAGATTTTTTAACCCTCAACTTCCTTTTACCACACCATTTTCCCACAGCAATCAGCCTGCTCCATTTTCCCTGCAACTCTCCCGTGAAAAAAAGAAACACCTCAATCAATTTTCCAATTCGATTTGTTCATATATTGGGGGGCTGCATAAAACCCTCGATCTCCCCACCGATCTTCTGTCAACCGCAAAACAACCACAAACGCCCACAACAACGCCCACGGCCCGGTTGAAAAGAAAATACAAGAAGCCCGAAACCCAAGTGGTAGCAAAATTCAGTAGCGCCAGAAAAGGAAAAAGAAGAAGTCGAAATCGAAGATAAAGATAAAAACAAAATTGGGTAGTTGACGTGACCAGATCTCCAGATTTCAGTCTCCCTCAACGATCGATGCTCGTAAATTGTACAAATAATAAATCGAATTTGGTACACACATCATTGAAAGCTACACATGAAAAAAAGTGTCGAGCTTTAAGTTCTGTAAATTCTAAACGTTATGCTTTGAATTGGGAATAACTAACCTTATCTATGTTTTTCAAAAATATTCTTTTCTCACTCTATATTTTTATCATTATAAAATCCCATTTATTGTAACATCCATAAAAAAACTACCTATATTTTTCTGTGTAAAAACTGAAGTTGCATGCCACATCGATTTTATGCCTTAAGTGTTAGCTTTTTGGTTGTCGGCTTTTTTCTACCTCTGGCTATTACGTTATGGCCAAGATTTGTTTGTTTGTTTCGGCTCATTTTTTATTTATAATTTTTGTGCATGTATTTTTCGTTTTTTAATTTTTTTTCGTTATTTCGAGAGGCCTTTTCACTTATTATTTCGCGTACTTATTATTTGTATTATGCGAGCTGCGCTCATTAAATTTCATTCATTGTGCAAATGAATGGCAATTGTTGTTCGCACTGGTTGCATTTTGCCGCCTCGTTTTCTTGGATTTTGGATGTGATCCAATGTGATCATTATATGGTTGAGAGTTTTGAGTTGTGGCCCCAAATTGGGGGCGTCATCATCAGTGCGCCGATTGTTCAGATCTGGCCGTTTATATACATATATATCTCTTTGACGAGAAATAAGCCTTTTAAACATATAACCATGGCCTGGGAAATTGTCACAAGGTAGCTGTAACTGCGGTCGTGATGCAATCTCTGTGGTTTTTGACTTTGGCCCAATGAGTTGCTAAATATTGAGACACATCTGCAGCCGCAAAAGATTATTTCAAGCACTCGAAACTATAATGAAGATTGCTTGGGATTTCTTCGAGTTATTGTAAGAATATTGAAGCCCTACTTGAATTTGCATAAATAATTTTTGGGCTACAAGCAAAATATAAACATAAAAATAAAATAAACATTTATCACCGTTCTCAAGTGTTCTGAAAAATATCTTTGCATTTGCATAAATACTATAAATACTAGTCCATGAAAAAAATAATGTAATGAGGCGGCTTGTTATTAAAGTCTGTACTAATAATAATAAATAATAATTATTGTTTGTTATAATTACATTTTTTATGGGAAAGTAATAATAATTCTTGAAAGCTTTCCAAGTTCTAAGAACCCAAAAGAACTTTTTACAATTATGTAATTTTAAGTAGTTTAAATTTGACCATTTTAAATTGAAATAAATTGGCCTTACCATAACGATCTTCATTTTTTTCATTTGACATTAAACCTATCAAAACAGTTTACAAATATTTTGAAATTCCCTTCAGATCTCAGGCTTTTTTGTGACCCTTCTATTATTTTTTTCAATTGTTTTCTTTTTTGGGTTAGGAAAATGTCACAGGGGAAATGTTTTTAGTTTCGAGTGGGGGAAAAGGTGCATGGTAATTGGTAAATGGTACAGGCTACAATGACATAATGACACACAGAAACATAGAGAGAGAAAAAAGCGGTTGGGAAAAGGCAGATGAACGACGGCCAGATGGAGTTGTCTTGCCATATAACAAAGGAAAATTAACCCAGCATACGGAAGCAAGTGGAAAATGCGGTCTGTGGGTCTCCAGTCCCCCTTCTCCCGATCTTCAATCTACGGAGTTACAACTCTTCCAGTAATTGCCAAAGATGTCGTAAGAGCAGCGCGAGATGTCTGGGAAAATGTCTTTGGTATTGTTTTTCGGTGGTATCATCATACCCCATCCATCCCCTTCCCCAGTTCCAAAGTCCCAGTCCAGCTTTTTATATTCGCTGTTGTATTTTTTTACATCTTCGTTTCTGCTGATTAATTTGTCTGACTTTCTTTTCACCCCTTTGTTTTATATGGCTTACTCAACTGCTACCGACAAATTAGCAGCTCAAGCTCTGATTTTTCACATTTTAATTGGACCGAAACCCAGAGACCGAAATCAATGACAAATTTTGTAATCGCTTTTAGCGAAACGCCCAGCACATGTGTGATTTTCAAATCTGCTGATAGAATTAACCTTCGAAGATTGAGATGGTTTAAAAAAATGTTTGAAAAAAATACTAATGAAATTGTTTACTTTGGGGAATATACAAAATAAAAAAATTGACAAAAGATCAGATTGATATGTGCTGGTCAATTTTATATTACTTTTATGTGATATGAATAAATATTTCTTTTTTTACATTATTTTAAAATATGCTTGTATCATAGATTTGACATAAACCATATCGGCTTTTTAATGATATAAAATATGGATTTTTTTCTGTGTAAATATTTTTTTTTTTGTTTCTTACTTTAAACTTGATTAATGTTCCTTGTAAATTTCGAGTATTATCCCCCGCGTTATATCTCTATCTCAACGAAAAGCTAAACAAAGGCTGGCAAAGTGAAAGCGCTGCTGCCACAAATCACAAATCAAAGCCATCAGCAGCTGCTCAACTTGATCCCAAGAGTCGAGAGGAGAGTCTTTGGCCATTGGCCGCCGGTTGATGTTGATGACTTTAAGCCCCATAATTCTCGGGGCAGCGAAAAAGTTTGAGCCTCAGTTTCAGTTTTAGTCTCAGTTTCAGTTTCACTTTCACAGCTAGCTAATTAAGTCACAGACAGGGCTACGGATACACAGATACACGTAGTTTTTAAAACTTACCATTTGTGTGATGGATAGCTTCCTGATCCGGTGGTTTGGCCATGGTTACAGATGCTATGGAGATCATTACCAGGCAACCGCAGATCACTAAGTGATTCAGTGTTAGTCGTCCTCTGCTGATTTGGCTCGTTGTATCTGCTGGTTTTGAAGATGTTGATGATGATTTTGGCCTGCTGCTCCTGCAGATTTGGCTGTTCAATTTGCTCGTTGCCATCTTTAAATATTTTTTCTTTTGGTCTCTTCTGTGCGTTTGGTAAAATTCTAATAAATTATTAAGAAATCACTGTTTTTTTTTTTTTTTTTTTTGGTTTGTGGGCATTTATTAACGCCGTCAAAACAATTGTTCGAAATGAATTTATAAAGGCAGCTGGAAAACAACAACCGCAGCAGCAACGACAACTGCAAAGTGAAATTTCTCTTTCGGGCATTCAAGTGGATTTAACTGGGATCAGGCTCAAAAGTTGGTTTTCTTTGGTCCAAGAGCAAGTCTGGCCAACACAAAGATACAGTTACAGATACCGACATACAAAGCTACACAGATACAAAAACCCATACAGAGACAGACTTTTTGGTGCCCATGTGAGCTGGGGGTCACGCACTCCAACTTATAGAAAAAATACTCTAATAAATCCAGAAAGATTTATGGGGATTGCGAATTTAAGACTTTCAATATGTTTATAAAAAAATGGATTATTAATAATAGATAATGAAAGTTTCCTAGTTGGCAGATTTAATTAAATAAAATATAATAAACTCAGTTTAATTTATCCATCAAACTAATATACGTAATCTAATATGAAGAGCAATCCAGCTTCGATTTGCCTCCAAAATATTATTCCCAACTTGTGGCTATTGTGTTGCAGTTGTAGCCAAAGCTGTTGCTGTGTTTTTTTTTTGTTGCCACTGCTGCTTGCTGCCTAGTGTTATTGTTGTTTTGGCTGTCATCTTATCGGCTTCGCATAAAAGTCATAAAAATAAAATTTATTTTGTTAGGTAGCAGGCAACGGGGCAACAAGTTAACTTGACTTGCAGCAGCAGCAGCTGCTTTTGCTTTGGCTGCCACATGCAACGCAAAATAACAAAAAATTCAAAAACCAAACAAAAAAAAGAAACACTTTCGCAACAATTTTATTTGGCTAGTTTGGTCAAAAGTTGTTGTTTTCATTATTATTATTATTGTAATCGTGGCTGCTGCCGCTGTTGTTGTTGTTTTTCTCTCTGTTGTTTTTGTTGTTATGCAGGAAACTATTAGCGCGGAACCACAATACACACCAAAAAAACAAAATTATTTCATTCGATTATTTGTAATTAATTTGCATTTCGTTAGAGTTCGAGTTTCGAGCAGTAATTATTTCAAGCACATTTTCGTTTTTTTTTCCTAAATGCGGAAATGGCGCGCTATCAAAACTTCGGGCACTTGAACAAAAAACATTAAAAAATTGCAAGTAAAGTAAAGTGAAAATTGAAATTAAAATGGAGGCGATGAAGCGAATTATTTGTTTCTTTTTTGTCTAGTAGTTAAACCATTGCACACTTCCTAGTTACAAAGGTACATTTATTCAGGGGTCTCTCGCTTACAGGGGTTAAAAAACGCACTTCGGCGGTTGGCGGTTTAAAACGCGCTGGCGGCTAAAAACGCGACGTGTGCCAAGCGGTCGCTGCGAACGCCATCAACGGTCTGAGCGGCGCGCCTGCGCAGTCGTTAACTTTTAAGCCACCGCATTACAGCTCGAAAAGAGAGAGAAAAACGAGAGAGAGAGAGAGAGGAAAGAGAAAAGCGGTCTCTCGCTCTCCATGATTTCCATGAATATGAATGGAACAACTCCACAACTCCAAAGAGTTCGCTGCTTTCGATCAGCTGTTGGGCTCATATTTATTTTTTTCTTTTTTTGCTTTTTGTTTGGCAAACTAAACTGCGTGCCCCACAAACCGGTAAATGTTGTACAACTGTTTCGGCTGCCGCCAGCGGCTACCGCTTCTTAATGGCTGCGCAGCCACCTCGCCGCTTTCAAGGGGTCACCACGTGAGGCGGTGTGAAAATGGACGCTTTTAAGGAAACGAACGAGTAGATAGGGATTAGGATTAGGATGGATGGTCAATGGCACAAAATGGCTTTCATATATTCAAATGTTTTTTACTATATTTTCGAAAATAGTCCTTTTTTACGGTTTTTTAGTTATAATTTGGACAAATCGAGGCCCACAGCTAAAAGAAAGACTGTTTTGAGCAGCTAACGACCTCTACTAACGAATCCCATCACTTTCTGGAAAATTTATTTTTTGACCAATTTTCGCATTTTTGACAAAATTGCATTTGCACAATTTTTTGCGAAAAAATTACAAAATTTAAAAATTTTTAGGTTTGAATGCCAAACGATTGGGAATTTAATTACGAGCTCATCAAGGTATGACACTCCATATTTGGATCATTATTTCCATTGTTACGACCAAAAAACTGATATTTTAGGGTGAAAAATATGGATTTGAATTTTCGACGAAAATAGTTATTTTTTTTATGGTTTTTTAGTCGTAGCTTGGTCAATTCAAGGCCTACAGCTAAAAGACCGACTGTTTTGAGCAGCTAACGACCTATACTAACGAATCTCATCACTTTTTGGGAAATTTATTTTTTGACCAATTTTCGCATTTTTTGTAAGGGGTAACATCACAATTTTTTGCTAAAAATTATAAAATTTAAAAATTTTTAGGTTTGAATGCCAATTGATTGGGAATTTAAATACGAGCTCAACGAGGTATAACAATCCATACTTGGATCATTATTTTCATTTTTACAACCAAAAAACTAATATTTTAGGATTAGAATTTTCTTTATTCTGAATTTATTTACTTTGTCAGCCAAATTACTGATTTTTAGGGCGGAAAATAGCGATATTATATTCAAACACATTTACAAAATAAAACGCAAGTGTTTAGAAGTAACGAACCCTTAAATCGGAATAAGGTTGAGAAGCATATTTTTGCATAACTGAACCAGTAATCGGGGTCACCAATCCATATCTTCGGTTAATGCAGGCCTGTGTTATTTTTTTTACCTTGAGGGCTAGAAAAATTCCTCCTCATCTGTTGGCTATCAAGCAATATGATTGCTTGATATGAAATTCCAAAACTATTGCCCCGAGGAAATGTTAATTACCTAGTCTTTCGCCACTCGCCTGATTATTAATTGTCACTCCTCCGCGTCCCCGAAACCTTTCTCCAATCCAGCTGATCAATCTTCTGTCTTAAAACCTAAAACCCATAATGGGCCCTAAGCGTTATTAGTCTTGGCATTTGCGTTAAAACAAACACGCAATGAAAGGTAAAACACACAACACACATGCCAAAAGGGACAAGTTAACAGGCCTGCGAAACTTTTGCATAAGATTATGCTCGAACATCGCTCAAATCGATGGCCATAACGAGATGGCGATGGAGTTGGTTAATTAATGGATGTGGCCAGATGTGCCGTCAAGTGCCAGATCCAATGGGTTTTATCGACGATCAGATCATCTGAGGCCGCGAAATCGGTTGGTTTTTATTTTATAGCATTTAGTTTTCACGCCGATTACACACTCTATATTCGACACATCCTATTGCCAAGCGAACTTGGACTAGTTTGGGTAGCTTTTAATTGGTATTCAGTTAATTAATTCAGTTCTCGATAGAGCTTAGCTATTTTTCGTTATTTAATATGTGTTTTCCCCTCAAAACATCGAAAATATAGATAATGTTCAAGTTCTAGTTCTCGATTAAATCCATAATTTACTAATTCCATAACTCTTTTTTCTAGTGATCTCTCCAATATTATCGTTGTGACTTTGTCATGGTTTTTACTCCCTTTTTTACTGCACTCTGGGACTATTTTCATACGTGGGCGGTCCTTACCTGGAAATGTGTATCTTTACTTGGCCAACGACGACATGGCGACGTTTCTTCCGCCAAGGCGCCGTAATCTCACAGTTTTGGCGCTCAGCTTTTAGCGCTAATAGTAAGGCATTTTCCTTCTTTTTTCTTTGGTTTTTGTGGAAGAAGGAGGGGGGCCACCAGGGCGTGCCTCAAAAATCAGGCTTAAAAAGCAATTACGCACTCTTCGCAGTTGTCGCCGATGTCGATGTCTGAGTTTGAGTTTGAGAGTCTGGATTTCGAGACGGAGTCGATCTGCAGCATCGACTTCCTGCTCCAGGCGCAGCAAATGCATTTCCCCCATATCTCCCCGCCCCTTTTACCATTTTTTTTTGCCATTTTCGGGCCGTCATTAAAAAGATAGTTTTCTCTTCTGGCTACGACTTTGTTCATTTTTTCCTTTTGGCTATGATTTCGAAGACAAGTTTTGACGCCCCGTCGCAATTGTCTTCCCCTGGGCCATGACCAATGGGTTGACATGATTTCGAATCCGTGTATCTCGAGACACCCATTTGTATCTTGTCTGCCCTACGGATACGTAGCGAGTGCTAAGTCCCGAGATTTATGGCATTAACCTGGTTATAAGACGCAAAATTGGGCGGCACACAGAAAGAAAAGCGGTAAAAGATTCAGGATGATATAGGTATATTACATCCAGGAAAAAATCGTCTTTAAAACCTTTCTCTTGATCTGGAAAAAAATTACTTCCGTTTCGAAAAACAAAATCTGAACTATTTTCTTTCGTTTTTTAAGATCACTTAATCTCAAAAAAGTGAGAAAAAAAACATTCCTGAATTTAGAACATTTGATTTACAGTAACTGTAAAGTGATAAACTTAAAATTATTAAAGAATAAATACTTATAGAACGAATTTTCCTTAAACGTATTATTTTTGAGTAGTGCAAAAACGGTGGAAAGGGGATCGAAATGAGAAGTTCGCAATCAAAGAAGGAAATCCATCGAATGCAAATCGAACGCAAATTGAAAATCAAACTGGAAATGGAAAAGGCAACTGGAATCCTAAATGTGTGTGTGTGTGGCATAATCGCTCTGCTCGCCGAAAATCCTTTTCGCAATTGCAATGGCAAAAGCGCGAATTATTAATAATAATTGAGGCGAAATTAATGATAGCGATAGAAAGATACAATCGATTAACAGCGAAGTGGGCCAAAATTTATGAGAGCAGATCAAGATGAAATTAATTAATGCAGGCCCGAACGATAAAGTCCTGCTAATGATAACATTCAATTAAACAAATACAGATCTTATCTTGATTATGATCGATGCAAAAAAAAAGATTAAAGTACAGTGACAGACTTTTTTTTAACTTTTTAAAGCAAACTTGAAAATCAGGAATCGTTTGTGAAAATTAACATTTTCTAATACTCAATCAAAGAAGCGCCAATTTTAATAATTTGAATTTATTTTCTTTCCAACACTGTTTTTTCCAGGGTTGCTTATAATAATAAAAATTATGTTTTTTACTTATTTGTTTGTAAGGCATTTAAAAAAAAGGCAGAAAATCTTGCATTTTCTGATTACTAATCAGACAATTATTGAAATTTGAATTTAAGAGTTTATTGACACAAAACCAGGGCTTTCAATTTTACAATTTACCGTAAATTCAAAAAATAAGCGATCAGATACCGTGGCGCCCTCCTAGCTATGTGTGCTTTTATATGGTACTAACTCTCAGCTGAGACACAAACCAAAACTGCTTTATCATTTTTTTAGTACCAAGTTTCGCAACTTAAAACGTCAAATGTAAATATACATGGTTAAAAAAAAACATAAAATATTTTTAAAACTTGTTGTAAGAAAGCGTATTTAAAATCGGTTTAAAAAATCAGAATTTGGTAAATATAAGCTGGCGTATTTATGTACATTCTTTTGAAATTATTTAAAATTAGATACGAATGCACAATTAAATTATTTAAAATTCTGTAGGAATGTTCAATGATGTGAGTAACTTAAAATATTATACCTCATTTAAAAAGTTTCTAACCTTTAAAGTTATGCCGAACTAAAAATCAAGGAAGTTTTTGCGGCAGAAATATAGGCAATTTAAATTCCCGTTGACATTTAACTGCTACTCGGTTGTATTAACTAATAAATAAACCAGTTTAGGCATTTCTTTTTTTCCCTTCCCCACTCGTCGCATTGGACACTTTTCCTGCCGTTGACAAGTCCATTAACATTGCCATAGACATTGACAAGCGTGGCTCAGTCGATCAATCGATCAAGTCCCGTGACTCATGCGCCAAGCCAACTGGTTGAAGAAAATAAGAGAATTAAAGCCAAAATCAACTAAAGCCGATTTCTGCATACCCTCGAAACAAATAGAAATAAAAATACAAATACAAATAGAGAAATAGAAAGATTGGGTGGGAGGGGCAGGCGGCAGGCGGCAAAACACGAGATCCGCATATGAAATCGGGTAATAAAAACCGCTGAAGTAACGGCAACAACTGGCTAGCAGCAACAGGCAACCGGCAACATGCAACACATGCGACAGTTGCCAGTTGCAACAATTACAACATCAGCGATTCTGGTCGCGACTCGGGCAAGAGTTGCTACACGGAAAAAAGTTGTTATTTCTCTATATTTTAAGCAAAGAC